AATCGGTTATTTAAGAACCGATTTTGTATGTAGTATACAAAATCAATTCTTAAATAACCGATTTTAAAAGTAGCACTTTTAAAATTGGTCATAAAATAATAAATCTTAAAAGTACTTTTAAGATCAGTTATACCGATCTTAAAAGTTATGTCTGATACAACTTTTAAGATCGGTTCTTTTGTAGTCGATCTTAAAAGTTGTGTCAAACATACCTTTTAAGATCGATCATAAAATAACCGATCTTAAAAGTGTTCACATTATTTACAAAATTGTCACCGCGTCACTTTTAAGATAGGTCACCTTGTAACCGATCTTAAAACTCCGATTTTAAATCCAATTTTTGCACTAGTGTCAGAATGAGTTGTGTCTTCTGCATTTGTAATTGAAGATTGTTATTCAATTATGTTTCAAAACAAGTTCCTTCTTTATTTCCTTTAACTGAAGCTATTCAACTAAAAAGAATTATACAATTTTATTTTTTTACATGCGAAAAAGTTACAGACATGAAAGGAAAACCTTAGCAAGCTTAGAAATTGGAATAGGTTAAAAACATATTCTGCCCCGGTGCCATACAACAAAAACGACTTTAATTTTTTTAGCGCACAATAGAGTTTAAAACACTTAAATGGAAAAAGGAAGCCAAGTTGAAGAAAAATGAAGGGGAGAAAAAACCATCCTACAACATGAGCAAAAAGAAACGAGTTAAAACAAAAACCAAAGAACATAACGAATTTTTTCTTTATAAACATGCTAACAATATTTTTTGTGGTTTCTTCGATGGTAAAGATAAGACATGAGATGAAAGATAAAAAAAATGAACAATTATGAACATAGATGAAAAAACCCTTACTTTTCATGCTTCAATAACTCCTTTGACATTATGATTGAACTGTAACTACACTACCAAAACCACCAACCATCGAAACTATTAGCCTCATCATGATCGCAAACACCATCATGAGTTTGTCACCATCTACACAATTTAGACACAAACATTTACACTGACCCATCAATAAAATAAGAATAAATCAATATGAGGATTAGGAGAAGAAAGGAAAAAAGATTTAGAGTTAAGAAAATGTGAGCAAGACAAGTAAGATGAGGGAGAGCAAGAGTGACAAGTTGTAAGGGAAAGCAAGAAATAGAGAGAAAGACAAGTGTGGCTAGGGTAAAAAATGACTCTCAATGAGTTGCAATAGTTTTTTATATGCGAGTGTTATTCATTGGTTGGGCTTATATATTGATGGGATTAAAAATTTTGAATCGAGCCTGACCGTGTAAACCTGCTCAAAATTGTTTTATTCAACCCAAAATTTTGATGATCAAATTTAGATCATCCAAGATCATCCAAAAACATGTATTTGTGTTAAGATTATGCGGGTCTTGGACGAGTTTAGAAAATTTGATAACCCTTATTAGGACACCTCATAAACATGTTTTAATTATCATATTTATTATTTTTGATGTTCCTATCATATGTTTTCAACTTATACCATAATATATTGAAGGAATAAAACTTATTTGGTACTCATAATGTATAGAAAAGGACAGAGCTTGTTTTTTGTCGAAAAAAAAGACAAGTAGATACCTCAAAGTATGTGAAGTTAGCCAAAAGTTGTTTAGGACTGACACACACTATAGTTCTTTACCTTTTTTACCCAAAATTTCATAAACAACATCCTTGATCAAATAAAAAGTAAAGTATTAAATTCACCAACAGACACATATTCATACAAAGAAGCAAGATGAAGGAAGTCAATAAGTGACACTCAAGGATTTACAACAATCATCTTCATATGTTGCCTATATATAAAAAAGCATGGACAAGCTCAGAGAAAAAAGGCACAAATTTTCATTCTTTATTTTTTTCCCTCTTTATATGTAATTTTTTTATCACCTCTTGTGTGTAGGATGATTCTTTGTTATTAGCTTAAACTTTATTTTTCAACTATAAGCTAGGAGAGGCTTTGTTGTTGAAAAAATTTAAGTTAGCGGAAAAACACATAAAAGGGGGGGGGGGTTGAATATGTGTGTGTAAGTGAACAAAGGAGTTTTAAAATATTTTGCAATAAAGCTTTCTTTCATCCAGTAAAGTTGAATGCTTGAACGGAAACAACCCAAGATTGGATTACCAAAATCATTTTGCAACTGGAAGTTTCATCGTCTGCTAAGAGAAAAATACTTCATAAACAAAAATTGTTCTTTTAGAATAATCAATTGAGCAATTATAGCTTTCGTCTGAAGATAGCTTTGATAGACGATAATTATTGGACAAAGTTTTTAGTGAATTAGATTAATCAAATAAATTGCGTTTGAAACATTAAGACGTAGAACAAGTATTTTTATATTGGTTCACTCAAATTGAGCTATGTCCAGTCTCCTTCAACTGAAGGGTTCCACTAGATATGAAGTTTAAGAACATTTGAGTATTGTCGTCCACTCCTGCACCTGAGTATTCTTGATCACTACTGGCCCGTCGGCTTCACTCACCAACACTAGTATTCTTAAACTACTTCTGGTTCTCCAAGTATTCTCGACCACTCCTGGGCCGCCAGATTCACTCACCAGCGCTAGTATTCTTAAACCACTTTTTGTTCTCCAAGTATTCTCGACCACTCCTAGCCTGCCAGTTTCACTCACCAGCGCTAGTATTCTTAAACCACTTTTGGTTCTTCAAGTATTCTCGACCACTCCTAGTCTGTCGACTTCACTCACCAACGCTAGTATTTTCTTATCAGCCACTTCTGGCTAGCAATGAGTATTCTTTGACAAGCCCCTCCAGGATTTACAAGTATTCTTTTCCTAGCCTCTTCAGACTTTACAACTGATAAATGTGTAGTCGGGTTCGAGTGTTTTGGGTTACTCTCACAGAGAGGATACATATATGATCTACACTCACTAAGGTTTTGCCTTCTAAGATGTACACATTTAGAATTCCTTAGTTTGCAGAGAGAATTACACTAAGGTACATTTGACTCTATTTGTTTTGTCTTTGATTTTTTTACTTCATGGGATGAATATAGCTCTTCTTCATGCTTGCACTATTTCGGACCAAACAGCCAACTCTTTAAGGTTTGATGTTGAGGCTTATATAGTCTTGTGAAATCTGCCCGTTGCAATTGTTCGTTGAAGCACATATATATAGTCGTTTATGACCAGTTTGACCTTCTCATTTAATGCTTAGATTCTTGCATTAAATGTTGCTTCCTGTTTATAGACAATGCGTGAAGTTTTCTTACTCTATTAGTAGATGTGTCTGAATATAACAGAGTCCTAGGAAACTTTTGTCCTTTTCTGATCCTATAACTGTGGAACTTTTGTCATTGCCTGAAAAAGTGATGTACTTTATCTGACATATGCATGATTTAGCGTTTGAGCATGCTCTTTTTCTTTCTTATTCTCTTCTAATAATTCAAATGACTTCATGTGTTTTTTTGTGAGTGTAGACGATATTCAAATTGTCTTTTGAAGCTTGATTTCTTAGGTGATTGTGTGTCATTCTTCGTCTGCGTCTGGTAGTCAACATTTAGTTTAATACTTCAACCTTTGTCTGATCATCAGCGTTTTAACTTTTCCTTTCATCTTGGTTAACCTTGTATATGGTCAAACTTCCCATTTCTTCTAGAGTTTCTTCTTGGTCGTTTAACCATCTTCTGTCTGAGTCTTTATGTGCTGCCTTAGATTGTGCTTGGCATGATCTTGTTCCTGATTTGACTTATTGAGTGCTTATGTTGGCCTTTCATTTTGTATCGTCTAATGCTTATGTCTCTTCGTCATTTTACCTGTTCTTATGTCTTTATGAAATACTAACTCACTTGTTAGAGATAACAACACATTATATTTGTCTCACTCAAAACCTTTTTGGGAAACTCTTCGTTTGACTTAACAAAAATACTTGGTATAGATGTTTGGAGAGGTTTTGTTATTCAAAGAATATTTGGTTAGTTTGGTTAAAGTGTAAAATCATAGAATATTTTGGTTGACTTGGTAGTGGATTATGTAAAGAATACTTGTATCTTTGTAAAAGATAGTAGAACTTGATCAAGTTGTTAAAGAATTGGACGTAATCTAGATGGTTGAGGCAAACCAAAATAAAAACACCTTGTCTTCTTTTCTTTACTTTGTCTACACCTTTTAGTTCACATATCTACTTTACTACTTACGAAAACGTGTTGAGATTTTTGATAGACACAATTCAACCCCTCCTTCTAGTGTTTATTTTTACTCCACAAAGTTTATTAAACATAATTGAGTAAAAGTAAAAATTCTTATGGAGGACATTACTCCATAAAGTGTATGTACATCCATCCCTAGTTGAAAATAAATTCTTTATTTAAACACTATATAGTAAAAGGAGGACTTTATGCAAATTGGTCAATGGTTTCATACTTCCTTTGGAGTAGAAGCTAGCTTGGTACCAAGCATGTCCCTCCTAGAAGGCAACCCAACTTGTACTTTGTTTCGTTAAAAATGTGACCATATATAGATGTAGAAACCATAAAAAACAAGGAAAGAAACTAACAATATCCTTAAAATATGACAGATATTATTTGAAATGCAAAATTTCATCCATTTATTGCTTACTAGCACATAAACAAAAAGTGCTGTGAAGGAAAAACTATTAACAACCTTTACAAATATATAACAATACAAAAATGCACAAATAGGTTGGTGAACATAATTCTATCAAGGCACCAATACTCATTGGTTGGGGAAATTTGGCATTTCTAATATGAAGAAGCAATTTTATTTTTTACAAATTATTAGTACATTTATATCTATATTATTTTTTATGCAATATGTTTTGAATGCAATCATCAAATCCTAAGCAAATTTGATATGATATAAATAAAAGTAAAGTAACAAGATGACTAGCTAAAACAATCATGACATGGGAATTTGTAGTGTGTAATGTATCTAGTTAAGTTCCACAACATAAGTAAATGAAGGTTGTTTAAACGAGTGTATTATAAATTAAACTTGATTGCCAACATTTAAATTTACTTACTTGGATGGAGTCAATAGATAATTAAGAAAGGCCATGGCCTAGGTTGATGACTTCCATTGCAATTAGGAGAGATGTATGTCTAAGGTCTCCTCAAGTAGAAGAGCCTACATCATAATTTGTGGCAATGGGAACCTAAATTCATGCCAATCCTAATAATTTTAACAAATTTTCATTTACCTTTTTAATATAAATTTAAATAATTTTATATTTATATTCCTTTTCTAGTTTTTTTTAATATGTTAAAGGTCATTTTTATTACAAAAAAAAATAAGTGTATTTCCTTTTAATTTATAGAATTTCATATACATTATTTTAATGTAAGTTTTCTATTAAGTTTAAGATCACATATATTCTACGAGTTTTAGTCATGAATAATTTATAAACAATTTATTTTAATATATCTTATATTATAAATGCTTGTGATAGTGTTTGGGGGAGTCCACAAAATATCTTATTAGCTAGAAGTGTAAAAAATGGCCCAACCAGACGGAAAAATGGGATTTTGAAAAGTGGCCTGAAAGATAACTCAAACAATTTGGCTTGTCCTAGGTTGGGCCAATAAGTTTAAGGACCTAAATCTATCAGGCCTTTTTGACTCATTTTTTTTTTTTTTTGTAGAATTTAAATAAAATAGAACATAAAATAAAATAGGCCAATTTGTCCAGCCAAATAGGCCAACAATATAAGGTGGGCTACAAATAAATGGTCTATAAGAAATTCGAGTCATAAACTAGGTCAATTATAAGCATTAGTTTGTGTGGGTTGGGTCAAACTAGGTCAACCATTTGACACCTTTATTTATAACCGATTCATAAGATGTCTTATGCTTATTTTTATAAGTTTTGTAATAAAACTTATAGTAATAACTAATGTGAAACTCATAAAATGAATCACCTTCAAATATTGACAAGGTTAAATAATAATATAGAATGTGCATTTTTTTTGTTTCTTTCCCAAATTATAATATTTTACTTATTCACCCATATAAATGATAACTTTTACACAAAATAAATTATAATTATTTTTTTCTTAAAATTTCAATACAACTTTCAACTTTAAAACAACTTATTCAACATGTATAACTTTTAACTTGGAAACTTAACAACATAATGTGTCGTCACGCATACTCTACTTTTGAGATCTCCTACAACGTTTGAAAAATTTGAGTGGCTTAACCCTACCAAGTTTATACAAATGTGGGTAATTAGTATAACATTGTGTTATTTTGCACCTTATTGATTTATTATATGATATTGTAATTGATGTTGTTTTAGAGCTCTAAGAGTCAAGGGATCCTTGAGAGTTAAGTTGATGGTGAGGTAGTTTTAGTTAGGGTCAAGTTAGCCTAGTTCTAAAAATGATTTATTTAGAAAGAAATGTGTTCATGTGTTGTATGAAAAAATCCTTTACGTCAGTGGCAATTATAGTACCATGATCAAAATTAATTTATAAATTAGTGGACTAGAGACACTTTTAGTGGAGCAAAAAATAATTATTAATCCATTTGATTTATTATCAAGAATCTATAATTTTCCAAAGGAAAAAGGAAATGATAACTATATAAAAAGATGTAAAATATAATAAAAAAATATGTGTGTTTCACATATATAGGTCTCTTCAAATGTATTAATTCAACTTATTTGAAAAAAAAATAACATTCTTTTTCCCAAATTTTTAAGGAAATTTTTGAAAAAAGAAATTTTAAGTCTACAAGTGTTGCAAGATAGTTAGTAAAAATATTGACTCGTGATAATTATTGCAATAAATTTTATCACATAAAATTAGTAAAATAATGTTTACAAGTTAGTGAAGGAAAATTTTTTTAAAAAAATTGTTTCAACATAAAATATCATGTTACTTCTACTTAATTGAAAAAAATAATAATTTGTTTCTTTATAATATGTAACATTGTATGTTTTAATGCTTTTATTGCATGATGGTGTAATATATGGTGTTATATGATGTTATGTTGTGTTCATAGTTATTTTTAGAGTTTTTTCAACTCAAGGGATCCTTGGGAGTTAAGTTATTCAGGGATGTTTAAAATTGAGGTCAAAGTTGACCAAGTTTGGGGAAAGATATATAAGGTTTTTTAGAAAACTTGGACTTCATAAGTTCATTTCTCTAAATTCTAGAGAGAAGTTTTAAAGAGATAAGCTCTAAAGTCAAGGAAGACCTTTTCTTCTTCTGACTTCACTAGGAGCGTCTAGATCTTTCCTGAGAGTGGAGATTGAGTAATTGAGTTAGAGATTCACATTAAGGAGTTGCGAATCTTAGATAGAAGTCATCGTAAAGAAGGTTTCACAATTTCTCCATCTTTTCATCTTCTTCTAGCTTTGTGAAGAAGTTGTGTAGTTGGGGATTTTTAAGTGTAAGGAAACTTATGACCCAAAGAAGTTGAGATTGATGAGTTTTGATGTTGCATGTAAAATTTAATGTTGAATTCATGATATATATATATATATATATATATATATATATATATGTGTGTGTGTGTGTGTGTGTTGTTTGTGTGTGTGTGAGTGTTGTTTGGATGTTTCTTAATGGTTTGCATGTGGTGGATCATGCTTGTGGAGGCTCAATTTTATGAGACTCGCTTAGCGAGGATGAATGCTCGCTCAACGTTATTCTAAGGTTGGTGATCCTCTGCCCAAAATCGTGTTCACGCTCAATGATAAGATTGTCACCTGACGAGAAAACAAATTTTTATGGTAGCCTTTCTTAGAGCTCACTCAGCGTGACAGCACGCCTAAAATGAGGAGCCATAAGGGGTGCTAGTCGCTCGATAAGTTATGGTTGCTTAGGGAGAGGACCCACAAATTTTTTTGTTTGCTTAGTGAGCTTTTGGATGCTCAACAATGAGCTATAGTGGATTTTGGTCACCTAGTGAACCAAAGTGCACCCAACGAGGATAGTCATAAAGAGTTTTTCTTATTGAGCGAGAGTAGCTCACCCAATGACGAGCTCTAAAGAACTTTAGTTTCTCAACAAAGTTATCCATTGCCCAACAAGAGCTCTATTTTTGTGAAACTTATATCTTATGTCCTTCTACATATTTAGGTGATATAAATCAATGATGATTGAACCTATTTTATAGAATTTTGATTTATAATGATATATGAAGATGAATTATGTTGTTTAAGTTGAAAGTATCAACTTGTATAAAGTTGAAGATGTAAGTTGTATGTTGTAAGTTGTTAAGTTGTAATGACCATGTGGTACGTGTCTTTAAAGTTGAAAGTTGCATAAAAACTAGAGGAGGTAAAAGTTGTTTTTGAAATTAAAATATACCATTGTGTAGATATAAGTTGTGGTACTCTAAGAGTCCAATAAGTTGAAAACCTTTTGGTAAGTAAATTTCCTACTAATTGGGAAGTTGTTTTAAAATTGTCTCCTCTAGGTTTTTAAGTTGAAATAATATGGTGGAGGTCAAACCATACTTTTCATAAGTGGTCAAGAAGTAAGGTACAAAGTTAGGGCTGAAAGTTCCTAATCGAGTACTAGAAAGGTTCGTAGTATTTGAAGGATAATTAATGGACTAATTCTATATATGCTTAGTTTTGAATGATAAAGTCGTAGTAGACTCATACCTAAGTTATTTTATTCATAATAGTAGTACTAAACTTTTCTAATGTTAGTGGTAAAACCTAAGAAACTAACTTTGGTCACCATATAGTCGTTGTGGTTTGGTAGGGTGAAGTAACCTAGATTGCTCACTAAGTTGTAAAAGATCTCCATAAATTGATATATGAGACACATCAGTTATTCAATTGTTTATGTTGCTCAGTTATTTTAAGTTGATAAGTTATTCAATTGATTTATGTTATTGAGATGTATTTTTGTTGTTATGCTTTGATGTTGTAAAGCTAACCTATTGATGTTGTTGTATATGTTGTTGAAGTTGTTTACTTCTTATTTATAATGATATGGTGTTTTCTTTCACAAGCTTACCTTTACTTTTCTATGTTGTTAGATTATTATAATTATACTTGTTATGAGAAAAAGTCAAGATTAGGTTGGAGTGCATGTTTGGTGCATGACCATGCTAGAGATGTCATTTTCTTTTGTTGAGTTGTTTTGATATATTATGTATATAGAGACACTTAACCAATGCTAGGATTTTATATTTTCAATACTTAAATATTTGATGTATATGTGAGTATATATGTATAGGGTTTGTTGTAACTTCATAAGAGGATTTATGTTTTTAAGTCAAAATTATCAAGAGCTATTTTATGATTTTTGAATCCTATACATATGTTTACTAGTGGGTTTTATGTTTTTCGGCACATTGTAGTTATGTTGTACTAAGTGTAGACCCCTAAAATTGTCCGGGTCGGAAATAAAGCTTGAAGACTCTCGAAGACTGAAGGATAATCAGCCAGAAGGACCCCTCGAAGGCCCTAGGAGGGTTCTCTGTAGGTCCAGAGGTCTTAGAATAGCTCAAAATAAAGAAGTGGAGGGAAAAAGCCCAATACGGCCGTACTGAACTCAATACGGCCGTATTGAAGCTTCAATACGGCCATACTGAAGTCAGTACGACCGTATTGACACTTCAATACGACCGCGGCGAACTCAATACGGGCGTATTGAAATTTCTGA